TGCTAGAGTTCATTGAAGGCATAACAAGCAATATGGATAAAGCAATATGGACTTCTAGGAGGTATTTGATAAGATGCTGCACAAAAGGTTGATACACAAGGTAAGACCACATGAGGTTATGAATAATTTATTAGCTTGGATAGAATTTTGGTTAATCAAAAGAAAGCAGAGTTGGAACAAATGGGTCTTTTTCTGGTTGGCAAGCCGTAACTAGTGGAGTGCCACAGAGTTCAGTCCTTGGGGCCCTAACTATTCACAATCTATATTAATATCGTTGATAAGGTTCCACATGGTAGGCTGCTCTGGAAGGTTAGATCATATGGAATTCAGGGAGAGCTGACAAATTGGATACACAATTGGCTTGATGGCAGGAAGCAGAGGGTAATACTGGAAGGATGCTTGTCTGACTGGAGGCCTGTGATTAGTGGTGTGCCTCAGGGATCAGTGCTGGGCCCATTGCTGTTTGTTATCTATGTTGTTGATTTGGATGGGAATGTACAAGGCATGATTAGTAAGTTTGTGGATGACACTAAAGTAGGCAGTGAGGAAGGTTATCAGAAGTTGCAGCAGGATTTTGATCAGTTGAGGAAGTGGACTGAAAAATGGCAAATGGAGCTTAACATAGATAAGTGTGCGGTGCCGCATTTTGGAAGGTCAAATCCAGGTAGGAGTTTTATGGTTAATGGTAGGGCCTTAAGGAGTGTAGTGGAACAGGGGGACCTTGGAGTTCAGGTGCACGGTTCTCTGAAAGTGGAGTTACAGGTAGACAGGGTAGTGAAGAAGGCTTTTGGCACACTGGCCTTGATCAGTCAGGGTATTGAGTATTGAAGTTGAAAAGTTATGATGCAGTTGTACACGACATTGGTGAGGCCGCACTTGGAGTATTGTGCTCAGGTTTGGTCACCTTGCTATAGGAAGGATGTTATTAAACTCGAAAGAGTGCAGAAGAAATTTACAAGGATGTTGCCAGGACTCCATAAGACCATAAGATATAGGAGCAGAAATTAGGCCATTCGGCTCATCGAGTCTGCTCTGCCATTCAATCATGGCTGATAAGTTCCTCAACCCCATTCTCCTGCTTTCTCCCCGTAACCCTTGATCTCCTTGATAATAAAGAACCTATCTATCTCAGTCTTAAATGTACTCAATGACTTGGCCTCCACAGCCTTCTGTGGCAGTGAATTCCATAGATTCACCACTCTCTGGCTGAAGTAGTTTCTCCTTATCTCCATTCTAAAAGGTCTTCCCTTTAATCTAAGGCTGTGCCCTCGAGCCCTAGACTCTCCTACCAATGGAAGCATCTTACCAACATCCACTTTGTCCAGGCCATTCACTATTCTGAAAGTTTCAATTAGATCCCCCCTCATCCATCTAAACTCCAATGAGTATAGTGCCAGAGTCCTCAAATATTCCTCACATGTTAAGCTTTCCATTCCTGGGATCATTCTCTGAACCTCCTCTGAACCCGCTCAAGGGCCAGTACATCCTTCCTGAGATATGCGGCTCAAAACTGCGCGCAATACTCCAAATGTGGCCTGACCAGAGCCTTATAAAGCCTCAGTAGTACTTCCCTGCTTTTATATTCAAGTCCTATCAAAATAAATGCCAACATTGCATTTGCCTTCCTGACTACTGACTCAACCTGCAAGTTTACCTTGACAGAACCCTAGACTAGAACTCCCAAGTCTCTTTGCACTTCAGACTTCTGAATTTTCTCCCCATTTAGAAAATAGTCTATGCTTTTATTCTTCTTATCGAAGTGCATGACCTCACACTTTCCCACGTTGTACTCCAGCTGCCACTTCTTTGCCCACTCTCCTAACCTGTCCAAGTCCTTCTGCAGCCTGGCCACCTCCTCAATACTACCTGTCCTTCCACCTATCTTTGTATCATCTGCAAACTTAGCCAGGATGCACACAGTTCCTTCATCTAGATCATTAATGTACAAAGTGAAAAGTTGTGGTCCCAGCACTGACCCTCAAATGACTAAGTTATAGGGAGAGGTTGGACAAGCTTTAACTTTTTCGTTAGTGTGTAGGAGACTGTGGGGGGATCTTATAGAAGTGCATAACATCATGAGAGGCATAGATAGGATGAATGCACTCAGTCTTTTCCCAGGGTTGGGGAATCGAGATCTGGAGGGCATCAGTTTAAGGTAAGAGGAAAAAGAATACATCGGAACCAGCGGAAGTGGTTGAGGCGGGTACATTAACAACATTTAAAAGGCACTTGGTCAAATATGTGGATAGGAAACGTTTAGAAGGATATGGGCCAAGCACAGGGAAATGGGCTTAGCGTGGATGGACATTTTGGTCGGCACAGACCAGTTTGGGCCAAAAGGCCTGTCTCTGTGCTGTGGGGCTCTATGACTGTATGAATTTGGATGCAGTGACAGAAAATATTACAGCCAAATTTGCAGATAGTATAAAAATAGGTGGGAAAGAAATTTACTAATGGATAGGTTAGATGAATGGGCCAAAAGTTTGCAGACGTGTATAAGTGTGACTGGAAGAATAGAAAGGCAACTTATCTAAATGGAGAGAAACTTTAGAGTGCTTTGGTGCAGAGGGATCTGGATATCATCATGCATGAATTGCAAGAAAACTAATATGCAGGTACAGCAAGTAACAAGGAAAGCAAATAGGATTTTGCCACTTATTATGAAAGAGAGCATTAAACTAAGAAAGTGTTGCTGCAGCTGTACAAAGTATTAGTGCGACTGCATTTGGAGTACTTTGCACAATTTTTGTCCCCTTACTTGGAGGGATGTAGTTGTTTTGAATTAGAATCAGAATATCCTTTATTGTCACATACTCCAGAAGAGGAGTACAGAAGTACAGTGAAAAGTTTCCACAATGACAGCCTTCAAAGGTGCTATCTTAGGTACAAGTACCTAGGAATAAAACTTAGAGTTATAAAAAGGTGTTGTTTCAGACTAAATAAAGAATATAAATTAGCATGAAAACAGTGAAAAGTCCAGAATGATAAGTGCCCATCAATACTTAAGTTCCAGTCTGTGTCTACAGACCCCAGAGAACGAGGCCACACTGCCACCATGTGCCGGTCTCCATCAAGGGCTTGCTCCGTCACTGCTCTGGGAATTTCCCTCACCCGCTCTCCACTCCACCGTAGGACTCAGCCCTCTCGCTCTGCTCTCGATTGACCGGCGCACCATACCATTGGCTGTCGTCACTCCAGCCTATGCTAGATGCACTGCTGCGGTACACGTTTGCGCGTTCAGCTCCGCCTTGTCTCCAGTCGTGACCCAACTCTTTTCCACCGGTAGGGATAAAAGTTTAAAGTTGGACGGGCAGCAAGGGAAGGTAGTGGGGAAAAGAAAATACATATTGCGAAGGGAGAGAGAAAAAAAGAAAGAGAACTGGTGAGCAGAGGAGCTTTGACTGGAACATCTTAGCCTGCCACCATTTTGCAACAAGTCATTGCAGACAGTTCAGAGGAGGTTCACTAGCTTGATTCTGGAGATTGAACAGTTTAGGCCTATACTCTCTGGAATTTAAAAGAATGAAAGGAGATCTAATTAAGGTATAAAAAGATGCTAAAAGGGGATTGACAAAGTAGATTAGAAAATATGTTTCCTCATGTAGGGTATTCTAGAATGAGAGGTATAGTTTTAGGATAAAGCTTAGCACATTTGAAATTAAAAAAAAAAAAGCAATGAGAAGAAATTACTTCTCTCAAAGGGTTGTGCATCTGTGGAATCCACTGTTCTCAGAATCTGGTGAATGATGGGACATTGAGTAGATTTAAGGAGATGGATAAATTTTTAAATTCGTAATGGGTTGAAGAGTTATGGAGAACACGCAGGAAAGTGAAATTGGTATGAGATCAGCCATTATCATATTGTCAAATGGCAGAGCAAGCTCAAGAGTCCGAATTGCCTACTCCCAGTTAGTATGCAAAGTACTACCCTATCCCAAACTGAACTGCTGAGACAGAAGGCTCCAAGGAGAGAAGAAACACATTAGGGAATTCTGCATCTCCACCAATTCATGGGAGTCCCAAACATGTTATTTAACAATTCAATTCATTCAATTAAGGCACCAACACAGATCATCAGAATGTTTGTCATTGATATAAATGATTTGGATGCGAGTATGAGACATGGTTAGTAAGTCTGCAGATGATACCAAAATTTGTGGCATTGTAGAAGGTTTAAGATTACAAAGGAACCTTGATCAAATGTGTCAATCGGCTCAAAAATGGCAGATTGAGTTAAATGTGAGGTATTGTATTTTGTTACAATAAACAAGAGTAGATGTTTGTTACACTGTATAAGGGATACTGTGTAAGGTTCAGAATCGTGAATGATGCCAGGAACGAACCTAAGCCTCCAGACCAGCCATCAATTGAGAGACCCTGATGGGCAGAAGGGAGTGAGACTTGTTGCTTTTTCTTTTCTCCCCCTGTGTAGAGGTTCATAGAATGATGAGGGGCATAGATAAGGTGAAGAGCAAAGGTCTTTTCCCTAGGGTAGGGTAGTTCAAAACTAGAGGGCAGAGTTTTAAGGTAAGCAAAAAAGATTTAAAATCTTTCATAGGAGGGTGGTTTGCATGTGGAATGAACTGCCAATGGACATAGATGCAGGTACAGTTAAAACATTTAAAAGACATTTGGGCAGCTATATGAATAGGAAAGATTAGGTGTTTGAACTCACTGCCTCAGAAGGCTGGGGAGGCCAGGTCATTGAGGATATTTAAGACAGAGATAAGTAGGTTCTTGATCGATCCCCTTGACAAAGAGTTACGGGGAGAAAGTGGGAGAATGGGGTTGAGAAACTTATCAGCCATGATTGAATGGCTGTGCAGACTCACTGGGCTGAATGGCCTAACTTCTACTCCTATGTCTTATGGCCTCATGGTCAAACACAAACTAAACCAGTCTGATTTTGCCTAGGAAACCTGGTCAGCACAGATGAGTTGGACTGAAGGGTCAGCTTCTGTGCTGTGTGACTATTACTTGAACACTGATAGCATGACAGCTCCTTGATAAATTTTATTTGTTTAGAACATTTACAAAAATACAATGTATACACATACAAACAGAAAAACAGCAAGCAAGCAGGTTATACAGGGAGACCACAGATTAAATATTGAAGCAGCTTGGTTTTCAAAAGTTAATACTCAAGTTTCAAAATACGCAACCCTTAGGGTTACAATTAACATGATTACAAAAATTCAAGAATTTGCTGATAAACTAGCACATTTGCCCGGTTATGCATTTGATTAATTTGACCGGAGACAAGTAATTATAGATTAAAAGGTCATTCCACATAATTTAAATGGTGGTTAGATTTACAACAAGGTCCTTTTAAAACACATTTGAAAGGGGAGGTAATTGGACAATAGGCACTAGATACCAGGTCTTTCTTCTGGGACGGGGGCAAGATTCTCTTTCCCCTGCCGAAGGGCAGCATTCTGTAGCTCCAAAATTGCAATTTTCTCTTCCAGCTCTTTGTTTTTTCTCTGAAGCTTGACTGAACCAAAAACAAAAAACACCAAACAGGCTCAAACACAAACAAACAAACGCTTTCCAGGCTCAAGAGAGATCCTAATGAAATATTAATCCTTATTATTCTCCCAGATTGGCTGAAACGTATCGTTAGTATTTAAATTATTGCTAGAAAAAAGTGGTCCTTTATTGCAGTGCTAGTTTGTCAGATTTTAACAAATGTAGAACAGGCATTTATTAGAGCAGGATAAGATATTTCACTCAATCTCCAAGTGCTAGCTGAATAGCAACATTGATGTAACCATGTTTCTTGCCAATAGGACAGCACAGGCCAAAAAAAAAATGCCCAAAAAGGTAAAAGCTAGTGGATAAAAGTGGAATTCCAAATTCCCAAAGGTTTGAGTTTGTGGGCAATGTCACCACTAGATGGAGTACTGCACATGCAAAGTTGGGAGCGTTGCTTTCATTTAGCAAAGCATCATGGATTATAAAATTAAATACAAATAAAAAGTCACCCAGGCCAAACAATGGGAAGATTATTTGGGAACTGGTCTTCAAAAGTGCCGTGTTTGAACAGACTAAGCCCTTTACTGTCATTAGCCCTGTTCATATTGAATGTCAGCACCTTCCTCTGGTGGTTTCTACTTGGATTTCTGTCAGAAGGCTATTTAGAATGGCACTGATATCAACGGCTGTTTAAGAAATCATAATTCACTAAAAAAGAAAGAGACAGTGCCTAATGGAGCTTTTACCATTTACTAAAAAAACCATGTAGTTTCACAGGTGCAACTGATATATGTAGATATATAATGGTGGACATTTTAAGTGGTGACAGAAAGCACAGATACCAATAACAGCTCAACATACCAATCTTGTCAATCTCAAAAAGGAAGAGAAGAAAAAGGCACTTCTTTCTAAAATGCAAGATGACTATATGCCCTTCCAAAGCTCCATCTGCATTTTTACTACGTAGTTACTGTGGCATTATAGACATGAATGGCTGAACAGTCCAGTTTATGTTGTGAAACAAAAAGTGAAACATCCTTCTTTAGCAAAGCTATTCACCGAATTCAAATACCACTTGTTTTTGTTTGATCCTCAACAAGACAGGTTATTAAACCAACTCAAGAGAACAGGACAGTAATCATTACACTTCAAAAGTCCCAACACAATGTTGGAATTCTAAACTTTTTGCCAAAGCACAGATAGAATCTCCCTCTAAACTGTAGTAACTGATGTTCACTTGACTCAGTGGGTGAACCGTGGTTTTATTATTTTAACATTTACTTTTGGAATGTGCATCTTATTGGCTGGGACAGCATTTATTGATTTTCTCTAGTTGCCCTCTAGACGCTGGTGGTGAGTGCTTTCTTGAACCACAGCGGTCTATCAGCATTAGGTAGACTCATGATATTGTTAGGGAGGGAATTGCAGGATTTTGACTAGGCAACAGTAACTGGCAATATATTTTCAAGTCAGGATGCTGAGGGGCTTGGAGGGGAACTTGCAGTGGTGCTTCCATTTATCTACAGTCCTTATCCTTCTGTGGAACTGGTCATGGATTTGCAAGGTGCTATCTTGGAAAAAGCCCAAAAGAAATCAAACAAAAAAAAAAAAAAAAAACACACAAACAGAAATTACAGGTCTCGCAG